ATTTTGTTCTTACTTTTCATAATATAGACTTACCGCGAATTCCTCTTTGCAGACTTCCCTACAAGGAGGGCAGACCACGCCCCCTTTGTGCAGCCAGCCTTTTTTGATTATCCTTATTTGAAGTACTTGGCTCGCATGGTAACAGGTGTATGAATAGTTGCCGACCTGGAATCGAATTCAATACATTTTAGAAATATTAACAAGATTTATTTATTACTGAGTTTAAAAAAAAATCAGTAGTACGGGACTTGGAATTGTGCCCGGTATATGGCAATAGGCTCACCCCCTATTACATGGGACTCATAACATAAATAGTGAAAAGTGGGTGTTACATTGTACAGTGGCATTAAGTGCCGCAATATACACCTCTGCCTACCCCTTCGGGGATAAAAGGTGTGATGGTACAATGTTATTTGGGATTTAAATATTCTGTTATTAGTTTGTCCATACAAATATCTAAACACCAATAACAAACAGTGAAGGAAAACCTCGCGAGGAAACCTTGGTTTATAATTTCTAATTATAAGTTTGAAACCACCAATCTTCTCCGTGTGAGAAGACTTTTTTTTTAAGGGGGGAAAATCATCGAATGATTGCTCCCGCCTGGGTGAAGCGAGAGGGAGTGTCAGACTCTTACTGACTAAAAACCATCCCGTTCCTTCTCCTGCACGTCGAGCCGAAGCCCCGGTTACCCGTTAGGTTCTCCGCGACTGTGAGAAGCCTTTGGTCAGCAGTGGGCAAATATAAGCTGATGATGATGATAATGGGGATGATGACAGGGTATGAAAATTAAAAATTTAATTAGTCCGTAAGTTAGGTAATGAAAAAATATTAGACACGTATTGTTTTATTTTGTCGTATAATTAAACAATACTTAGATAAAACGAATCAATGTTTAGGAGTGGGGGCTAAAACGTCATTTCTTAGTATAAAATGTACTGAGAAGTGACGTCACGCGACATTTCAAATCAATATATCTTCGAAACTATTCGTCTCCGTAAGAAAATAAAAAATACATGTCTAATATTTTTAAATAATCTACCAGACGGACATTAAAATAAAAATTAGTCGTCTACCCTATTTCTTTATAATATTTGAATACTTACAACAATATGCAATCGGCCACTTTCACATTTATATTTGTAGCAACCCGAACCCCAGTGTTGCCATTCTCTGATCTGAAAAAAAGACAAAAATATAAATATACTTTTGTCCTTTTGTAAATCTCCAATTAACCTGCCAAGCTTGGAGATTTTGTCAAAGCACTCTTATATGTAAAGAAGAGGCCCATAATCTAACAGTCGATAATAAATTCACCCCCTATTACCATTGTCATTAACCTCTCTTAAATTTAAAGTGCCCTCTAAACTAAGATACGTATTACATTGCTCTCACATAATCGGGTACTTTCCTTAATCAAAAATAAATTATTTCAATACATAAAATATAAAAAAAATAATCTTATTATCATTAATTGACTTTATGACCAACTTAATTTTAGTATTGTACCAGCAAATTAAAAAAAAATAACTATGATGTTTGACGCTAAAAAAACGTGACGTCACAATACACAATCTCGTACAAAATTCAAAGAAAACTGTCGTTTTTGACAGTTCGAAAAAAGTATTGAATTTGACTAGTTGGCATGTACTTAATTAGGGGTGCCAATGATATGCTTGCCCAGGACGCTAACTAAGTTTAATTAGCTTCTGACGATGATGATAATCACCTGTCTACAGGACTTCTGCTCCCAAACTCTGTCGCTGTGGTCAAAACATTTCGAGTGCGCTCCATAATTCTCTAGAGCGAAGTTTACGTCACTTTCTGTAAAATAAAAAAAAATTAACATGATCATTTTCGGCTTACTCGCGTAATTATTTGACGAGGAACTCGACTAGTTTCAAGTCATGCTAGTGGCTTATATTCATGAGCTTGAGCAGCATTCCGCGACTCGCGAAACAGTGACAGTCGCTGCTACTAATGTCAGTAGCAGCGCGACAGTCTCGTCGCGGAATGCACGAGTAAGTCAAACATAATAATTAATTTAGTATGACTCACAAAAGCCTTAACATAATTATAATATACAAAAAAAAGCATTCAAATTTTTTTACTATTAACATCGAAGTAAGCTATCATGTCCTTAAACTGTCAAACACCAAGCGGTCACCGGTGCCCGCAACCTATTGTTCTATAATTGTGTCTACAAAACCGGTACTCGACGAGTTAAATTGGTATTTTTCTAAAAAAAAATTGGAACAAAGGATATCGAGTTATTTTGTCCTAAATTGTTTAAAAAGTTACTTCATTCCGCCTTATCTCCTTCCTTGAAGTGTGGGAGTACATACTTCGGAACAAATAGGTCAAATCGATCGGAGGGATACCACAGCCTCACGGGAAACTGACGAGCAAGAATACTTACGTTATGTACACGTACCGCCGGCAACCAAATTCCGTTGTTTTCTCAATCTCCTCAACCCTCAAATCTTATAATCCCTAAAAGGCCCGCAACGCAACTCCTTTGGTGTTCCGGGTGTCCATGGGCGACGCCGATTGCTTTTTTTTAAGGGGGGAATATCATTTTATGACTGCTCCCGCCTGGGTGAGGCGGGAGGGAGTGTCAGACTCTTACTGACTAAAAACCACCCCGTTCCTTCTCCTGCACGTCGAGCCGGAGCCCCGGTTACCCGTTAGGTTCTCCGCGACGACGCCGATTGCTTACCATACCTTACCATCCGACTGCTTAACTGCCGGTTAACTACATAAAAAAAATATCAGCACTTACTAGGCGTATTCTCCTCATAAGAACAGCGGCTGCCCCTGACGAGCACGCTCTTGTGTCTCCACGTGAACTCCTGAAGGTACGGGCAGTAGTCCGCCAGGGAGACGGAGCCTCCATAGTGAGCCTCTTCACCTGGAGCCACGTTTGGAAGGGTATCGAAATGCTGTAATGAAAGAAATAACATAATCAGCTATTTATATATGTAGCTACTGTATCACATTAGGTTAAACCTGTAGAGACAGATGTAAGTGTGATGATAAATAAATAAATAAACAATTCGCAAAAACAGTACAACGAATGCTATTTCCCACCTCTCTAGACCCACGAATAAAAGAATGGCATTAGTTTTAAGTTAAAAAAAAAAACCCACTGGAAATACTTTATAAAGTCTTCAATCTTCAGAGAGAGAGCGAGCGAGAGAGAAGAGAGAGGGGGAAAGAAGATACAGAAAACCGACGTGAAGCAACGCTTGCGTTGTGTTTCGTCATATGAGTGAGGTTACCGGAGGTCGAATTACCTTCCCCTTCCCCAATCTTCCCAATCCTTGAATCCTCAACGATCCTCAAACTCCTAATCCCCAAAAAGCCGATAACGCACTTGTAACGCCTCTGGTGTTCCAGGTGTCCATGGGCGACGCCGATTGCTTACCATCAGGTGATCCGTCTGCTCGTTTACCGGCTTATGCCATAAAAAAAGAGAACACTTAAAAATAAATGATAGTACCATTAGCCAAAAAAAATAATATAAAGCTAAATTTCTCACCTGGTATGCTCGAGGCAGTATAGTATCATGACGTACAAGATTGCAGAGTACCACGGCGTTACGTCGGGGGGAGCATTCCGTTCGAAGAGGGTTACCTTTGATCCTCTCACAGAAGGGGGCCGGGTTCTTTCTCCTGCAGAAAACATTCATATAAAACAATATATCAAACTGTTGGTTTCCCAATTACTATTCGTATACTAAAATTTCAATCATTATAAAAACTGCCTCGTTGGCCGAGTGGTCGCAAGTGCGACTGCCGGGTAAAGGGTTCGAGTTCTGGATCGGAAAAATGCATTAATACGTTTTCTAAAAAAATGTACGTAGTAGCAAGGTACCCGGAATATGGCTATTGCCATATACCGGGTAAAAACATCATCACAAATCATCATTACATCACGCCTTTTATCCCCGAAGGTGTAGGCAGAGATGTACTTTACGGCACTTTATGCCACTATACAATGTAACAACTAACACCCACTTTTTACTATTTTATGTTATGAGTCCCATGTAATAGCCTATTGCCATATACCGGGCACATTTCCAGACTCCGTGCTACCACTAATTTTAAAAAAAACCAGTAATACTTTGCCCGACCCGGGAATCGAACCCGAGTCAAGGGTCTCGTCTAGCCTAGGCAAGAGTGCCTGGCAGTCATACTTGCGACCACTCGGCCAACGAGGCAGTCGTAAAACACATGCTTTAAACCATTTTCATTTTAAAACAATATTAAATAAAAACTACATTACACACACAAAACACACATATTAACTTATAATAAACAGATATTATCAAATCATAAAAAAACAATCAAAATAAATTTTCAACAGTAACTCCCCAGATACTTCACACTCCTACCTCGCTCCTAACTACCTAAGCGTTATGTTAGTTAGCTTAAACCATTCCTCAAGAACAGTACTTTACCATGCAAAAAGAATTATTAAAATCGGACCTCTAGTTCAAGAGAAAAACGCCTACGAACAAAAAAGCAAGCAAACAAACAAAAAAGCATACGAAAACTGACTATTTTTACTAACAAATGCACTCACTCTTTCTCCGTAGTCCCGTTAGTAACGCTTTAAAATGAAATATTAAGGTTAGTAATAATACAATGAAACAAATTAGTTTTTTAATGAACAGTCATTACAGCTATGCAGGTAAGAGAATAAAGATTGATTATAGTAGCCATTGTTATAGTACCTCTACATATATAGTTTTAATTAAGCTACATCTTTCGCAACCATTCGTGGACTCAGAAGCCAACCAATGGTTTTTTTTTGGGACAAGTCCGCCATAACCTTCCAATTAAATACCTTTTTTTTTCCTGTAGATACAACCACCGGAACACTGAAGTCCGTCGCGTCCCAGGGACATGAATAACTGCCTTGCCTGCTTCTCGCAACGAAGTAAATTAGAAGATACTAGCTTTTACCCGCAGCTTCGCTCGCGTCACAAAAGGATAAAATGTAGCCTATGTGACATATACCAATACACACAGCGCCATATTTACCAATAATTTCGTTTTCCTTAGAGAAAATCAAATTTTTTCGGGATAAAAAGTACCCTACTATTTAATCCAGACTTCTAACTTTACGTCTGCAAAAATTCAAAGCGGAGGAACAAACAAACAAACTCACTTTCCGATTTATAATATTAGTAAGGATTATAAAAGGAGAAGAAAAAAAAACGATAGTTTCCAATTCCCTCGGTGAATTACTGCAGGAGACAGAATGAATTAAGCCTAAAGGCACAAAAAAGAGACTGTACAACTGGGTGACGCCCAGTCGCCAAAACCAATGGTTACTGTCTCTGTACTACATCACTCTTTATATTCTTACTTGCATGCTAAATAGTTCTGCTGATTGTGTATATCAAGGCTGTATAGGTACCAGGCAGATCAACCTAATACAATTCGTAACTTTATTCGATTTTCAACTTTATTTCTTTTATATATAAAGTCGAAAATCCATTTGATTTTGGAGCACGATGACTTGCTAGTGTCTATACTATGAAATGAAAAACTACATTCAGTCAAGATGGTTTGATGTAGTTACAGCTGTGTACAGTCTGTCACTCTCTCAGCACTCCCCTACACTCCTACAGCGCGCTACATGTCACACAGCTCGCTACGCGCAGTAGTTACAGCTGTGTACAGTCTGTCACTCTCTCAGCACTCCCCTACACTCCTACAGCGCGCTACATGTCACACAGCTCGCTACGCGCAGTAGTTACAGCTGTGTACAGTCTGTCACTCTCTCAGCACTCCCCTACACTCCTACAGCGCGCTACATGTCACACAGCTCGCTACGCGCAGTAGTTACAGCTGTGTACAGTCTGTCACTCTCTCAGCACTCCCCTACACTCCTACAGCGCGCTACATGTCACACAGCTCGCTACGCGCAGTAGTTACAGCTGTGTACAGTCTGTCACTCTCTCAGCACTCCCCTACACTCCTACAGCGCGCTACATGTCACACAGCTCGCTACGCGCAGTAGTTACAGCTGTGTACAGTCTGTCACTCTCTCAGCACTCCCCTACACTCCTACAGCGCGCTACATGTCACACAGCTCGCTACGCGCAGTAGTTACAGCTGTGTACAGTCTGTCACTCTCTCAGCACTCCCCTACACTCCTACAGCGCGCTACATGTCCCACAGCTTGCTACGCGCAGTAGTTACAGCTGTGTACAGTCTGTCACTCTCTCATTGACTAATAACGAAAGAATTTCTAATATTTATTTTTATTACTTTGTAAACTTACTTTGTCGTAGAATTGTCCATAGATTCGCTTGTAAGATAACATAAATTATTAGTTACGCATACATATACACAATATATAAACAAAATATACGGACTCCACACTCTACGAACTGTCATTTAATTTATTTATTTAACTATCAGATAGCTACGTATTAAATTAATGATTAGTCCATTCTATAATATACATACATAATATAAGACAAACAAAAAACAAACAGCGCGTTAAGCATCGGTTTAAAATAAAAATTTAGGTACACTCTTTTCGTTTTGGTCATCTTGCTATACTCGGAATTATAATTCGATTCCAGATTTGACAATTTCAGTGTTGCAACGTTATGACAAGTACTAAATAGTGACGTTGCGAAATTATTCGATATGGAAATGCAATATTTCTGGATCGATTCTTCTCGTTTATAATTTTACTCCCGTAAACTAAGTATATCAGGAAATTAAATATTTCTGAACCGATAATTTAGTTTTGACGATTAATTAACGATCTGAGACTTTTCTTTTACAATTGTGTGTGAAATAAATTAAAAAATGTAATCATGAAGGAACATGACAAATAAAACAGATAGATGTATTATGGTAACAAGTTATTTTATAAATTGTCACCGTCATCGCTATCGCTATCCTGTCATTTTCTGTAAAACATTTATTATAAAAAACACACACTGATTGTTTATCGATTTTTGTGTTCATCACTACACTATTATATGTGGTATCATTATTTCACAAAATGACAGTAGCTATTGTCAAACCTGGAATCTAATTAAAATTCTGACTATAATTGTGCGAACCCACTTTTAGGTTTTTGTCGATAAAAGAATCGAAAATCCGATACGTAACACACTGTATATCGACATAAAGCTGTGTACAGATACAAAGCACAAACCCATTTGGAAGTGGTCTGGGCAAATATTCTAAACTTATGTCGTAAGTGGCGACTCTATTTTTAAAATTTAAATGACGTCATATTTCCGTAGTTTTTTTTATCGATAAAACCGGGATCACTTGATAGTATGCAATCGACGTCGCCCATGGACTCTCGAAACATCAGAGGTGTTACAAGTACTTTACCGGCCAGGATATTAGGAATTTGAGGATTGTATGTGATTGAGGGATTGGGGAAATTAGCGAGGGGGGATAATGGGCCTCCGGTAACCCCACTCACACGACGAAACACAACGCAAGCATTGCTTCACGTCAGTTTTCTGTGAGGCCGTGGTATCACTTCGGTTAAGCCGGCCCATTCGTGCCAAAATTTGTATTAGTCCAGTACTTTTTTATCGCATTTCAACTATCTATTCATTATCCTTCAAGCCTTTGACTACCGACATAAAACTGCTGAATGCAAATCCTCCGCTAACGTGACAAACGCGGCGGTTAACGTGTTAATACGTTAACAGTGACGGACACTGCCGTGAACTAACAAAAAATAGATCCCCTTTTCTTGAGGGGGAAAATCATCCAATGACTTCTCCCACCCGGCTGAGGCGGAAGGGAGTGTCAGACTCTTACTAACTAAAAACCACCCCGTTCCTTCTCCTGCACTTCGAGCCAGAGCCCTGGCTACCCGTTATGTCTAATGCTATGCTCCCGCCTCACCCAGGCGGGAGCAGTCATTCGATGATTATCCCCCCTTAAAAAAAACCTACCTACATCCGAAATATTACAAACGTAATTCCGATGCACCCAACCACTCCCAAAGCCCACAAAATAAGGAAATTACCTGAACCTTTGCGAATTCAGCCATTGTTTGCAGGAGACCATCGAGAACTTGCATCCGAGGCCTTTCCCCCAGTCTAGAGGAGTGGCGTGTTCGTAATTGGCCCGGTACCATCCTGTATCTTCCATGAGAGCGAAGGTTATCCGGCTGAAGACTGAGTTCTGAGTGTGAGTACCAGTCATTGCTTCGTTCTGTTGGAGAAGAAAGAATGAGGTTTTTGTTTAGTTTAGTATTATTATTATTCTATGTTATACATTAGCTTCTGCCTGCGACTTCGTACGCGCAGTCTCGATATCTCTCATTTCCGTAGGTTTTTACACATTTTTTTGTATCTTAAGAACTTTCTCCTAATAATGACAAACACAACAAAAAAAACATAAGCCAAATCGGTCTAGCCGTTCTCAAGTTATGGCGTGACAACGGGAAACGGGTTTCATTTTTATATAAATACAAGCGGACCCAACAGACTTTGTCCTGCACATCCACTTGAATGTATAAACAAAAATTCATTCAAATTAGTTCAGCTGTTTAGGATAAATAACCTAAACATCGACTGCAGCGCCATCTGCCGGGCTGATTTATGAATCACAAAAAATATCATTAAAATCGGTCCAGTCGTTTGAGAGAAGTTCAGTGACATACACACTCACAGAAGAATTATATATATAAAGATTATTATTCTATGTAATATATAATATAGCATATATAGCTACGGACTATAGGCTGTCGAGGTGGCCCGGAGGTTTGAGACGCCCGTTTCTCATGAATGAGGGTGCCGGTTCTAAACCAACGGCAAGTACCAATGTGACTTTTTCCGAGTTACATGTACTTTCTAAGATTATTTAGACACCACTGACAAACGGTGAAGGAAAACATTGTGAGGAAACCTGGGCTTATAATTTCTAATTATAAGTTTGAAATCGCCAACCTGCATTGAGCAAGTGTGGTGATTATTGCTCAAGCCTTCTCCGTGTGAGAAGAGGCAGGTCAGCAGTGGGCATTTATAGGCTGTTGATGATGATAGCTACGGACAAGTGCTGAAAATCAACGCCGTAACTCGAGTTATAGCGCTCGGGTCACGGAATTTAAGCTGAGCTCTGGCCTTTTTGCATCGTCTTCACTGTTTTTTATATATATGTCGCAGAATCAACAAAGATGCACAGCTATCGAGTATCGTTATTTTAGAACAACGCCATCTGTTATCATTTGTCGGAAACGTCAAGCAGTGTGCTTGGGTGATGGTCGGTACGGGGCGTGGCATGTTGGCATTTTGAAAGGCGTCACTTTTGAGTTGGACACGAGAGTGAGCGGTTGTTCTGCCAGCCCGTACCGAACTTACCGCGTTTACGAAGAATCCGATGACAAATTACCCCCAATGGGTGCATTTTCTCTGACATATATATTTTTTTGCCCGGTTTCTGCAGCCGAATTGTGTCCGATATATGGCAATAGACTCACCCCCTATTACATGGGACTCAAAAAATAAATAATGAAAAGGAAAAATGAAAATTGTACAGTGGCATTAAGTGCCGTAATGTGCACCTCTGCTTACCTCTTCGGGGATAAAAGGCGTGATGTTATGTTATGTCGTCATATAATTCTATTCTAGACTACGTTTTAAAAAGCCGCCTGCTACACCCACTTTTTTCGAAGTCATTTTATTGTTGTACTGAAACTTCTCATAAGTAATAAACACTTTTTTGAAAACCGCATCGACATCGGTTCAGCCAATCACGAGATATTTGCGCACAAACATACATACAGACATACAGCTTAAACTGAGAACCTCACTCTTTTTGAAAGATATTAATTATCAAGACAATACCTCAAATATTCGCTTCTCCCAGTGAGTGAGTGCTGTACCGTCCCCACCCTGGTCTTCTAACTCAGCGCCCTCCAACTCTGAGCAGTTGAAGTGATCTCGAACCTGGAAAATTAATAGAAGAAACAAATTGTAAAAATGTACATTGCCAACAAAGAAATCGGAACGCTAGTCGACACTTCGTGTGAAAAAAGAATTGGATATTTCTTCGAACAGAAAATAAATATTCAACGAGACAATGCCATCAGTTTCTTGGCATCTATGTCTTTCTTTTTTCTTTTTTTCTTAAACCTTGCCCCACACTAGGATTTTCTCCTGTGTCGTGGGTGCGTTTACAAACATACAAGTTCACATACACATGACACACAGACCCGGAACAACAATCTATGGATCACACAAAGAGTTGTTCCGTGCGGGAATCGACCCGCGCTGAGTTGCGCGGCAGCCAGTTGCCCAGCTACCGCGCTAACCGTGCAGTCTATGTATCTATGTATGTATGTGAGATTCGTTTTAAGATCCAGTAATATCTTGCACGATCCGAGAACCGAACCCGAGACCCCTTGCCCGGCAGTCGCACTGTCACAGTGGTCGCAAGTGCGACTACTAGGGCTTTTAAAAAAATCTCAGTAGTAGCACGGAGTCTAGAATAATGCCCGGTATATGGCAATAGGCTCACCCCCTATTACATGGGACTCATAACATAAATAGTGAAAAGTGGGTGTTACATTGTACAGTGGCATAATGTACACCTATGCCTACCCCTTCGGGGATTAAAGGCGTGATATTATGTTATGTTATTGTTTTGTTTTTTTTACCTTACTGTATCTGTATTTTTCTTCTACTTTTAATTTTTGTATCTGTGTGCGTGACTACTACCTTAATGCTTATTCTTTCTCTCTATCTTCTACAGTGTGACTCTTTATAAAGTGCTCATATAGAAAAGCTTTATGGGCTTTAAATTTTTTTTTATCTCGTCTTGGCACCTCATGCAAAAAAACTGTCACTACTTTTAAACTAGAGGTAAATAAGATATTTAAACTAAACAAAAATAATAATTATCTCCAATAGTAAGCCGAGCTAATTTTTTAAAGCCATAATTTTTTGAAAAATAAGCCCCATTAATTAATAATTGATGATTTTATGAAAAAAAAAAATACTATTTTTCTACCATTGTTTGCAATAAATGTAAAAATTTATCGAAAAAATGTCCCGAGATAAAAAAAATTAAAAGCCCATAAAAAATTCAATTTTTTTTTACATTTTTTCCGTCGATAAAATTGTTTATTTTTTCACCCTTTTCAATATGTGCACTTTATAAAGACTCACACTGTATTGCCGGAATACTGAAACGTTACTCAATTTTAAGTCGTGCTTAAATAACGTGCCATCTCTGTCATTTTACAAAGAATTTGTAGAGACAGAACTATACTTAAGGACGACTTAAAATTGAGTAGCGTTTGAGTATTCCGACATTAATCTATTAGTATAAATGTACCTCTTGAACGACCCTAGGAGTGACCACCATATGGAAGGTCCTCTCCATGTATCCACCGCGAATCATCCAGTTCTTCCTCGTTATATTCTTCACTACACGATCAGACCATTTGTGGATTTGTAATCTGAAAATAATAATAGATTTAATGTGTGGGAGAGCCTTGCTTCGGCACGAATGGGCCGGCTCGACCGGAGTGATACCACGGCCGAGCAGGAAACCATACTGAAACCAACATAGCGTTGTGTTTCGTCGTGTGAGTGAGGTTACCGAAGGCACAATTGCTTATAATATCTCTGTTGTCTATTGGCTATGCGCAAAGCGAGTAGTGGCGAACAGATAACGACCGCAGCGCACAACGCGGCAGAAATTGGAAACAAATGCGGATGATCAGCTGTCAAATGTGTTGATTGCAGTACAAAATCAAAGCAAAGAAATGGACCATGGCTCGTATTAAGTAGATCTGGCCGTTATGTGGCAGTTCTTCCACATTTCTTACATGCTCGGCTAATACTAATTTATTGCCTTTTGTCTCAGTTTGTGGTTGGAAACTAATATTATGTTTAATAGTTTCAAAGCCGGTTTTTATTATTATATTCATTTTACAGTGAAACTATTGAATAAATTGCACTTAAATGATGTCAACAATACTATTATTATATTTGCAAAGACAACTATAATGTTTACATTGTTATTATTTGACAGCTTCCGCAAATGTTGTAAACGCTACGCGTCGCCACCGTCGTGCACATAGCCAATAACACTCATGGGCGGCGCTGATTGCTTACCAAGTGATGATGGTTCACCTAAGGCTCTGTTCTTCTTCCCCTCCTATCTAATAAAACCATTGGAAATGTCAAAGTCAAGAATAAAGACAAAGTCAAAGTCAAATGGCAATAGGCTCACCCCCTATTACATGGGACTCATAACATAAATAGTGAAAAGTGGGTGTTACATTGTACAGTGGTATAATGTGCACCTCTGCCTACCCCTTTAGGGATAAAAGGCGTGATGTTATGTTATGTCAAAGTCAACGTCAACGTCAACGTCAAAGTCAAAGTCTTTAGACCGGGAATGTACTTTTGAACATCAACAAAAAAAATAAAAGTGATGCTATTTGCTCATTACAAGGTGTAGATTCCTATAGAGAAGAACGAGCGAGAAACTCTAAAAGTCACAGAAAAAGGTAGTCTGAATAGTATTAACTACTTACTCTTCGTCCATCGGTGGGTTCCCAGTGTCTGGTCTTCGTTCCGTTAACGGTTCTCCGTTTTCATCTCTGGAAAAAAACAATTATTTAACTCGTCGAGTACCGTCATTATAGACACAATTATAGAACAATAGGTTGCGGTCACCGGTGACCGCTTGGTGTTTGACAGTTTAATTTTAACAATTATTTTGACTACAATCGCTATACTATAAACAATCTAGTTTTTCGCTGAACTTAAATCACGCCTTTTTACCCCCGAAGGGGTAGGCAGAGGTGTACATTACAGCACTTAATGCCACTGTACAATGTAACACCCACTTTTCACTATTTATGTTATGAGTCCCATGTAATAGAGGGTGAGCCTATTGCCATAATATACCGGGCACATTCCAGACTCCGTGCTACTACTGAGATTTGTTTAAAAACCCAGTAATACTTTGCCCGACCCGGCAATCGAACCCGAGACCCCTTGCCCGGCAGTCGCACTTGCGACCACTCGGCCATCGAGGCAGTCAAAAACAATATTAATGATTACCTGTAAAAAGCGAACAGTGACACGCTGAAGCCCAGTGCGTGTAGCATCTCATGTTTGACAGTAGATAGCACTGACGGAAGGTCCCTGTTGTTGGTGGACAGCTCGCCTGGACAGAAATTGGCGTGACCGGCTACTGGCCTGAAAAAAAAAAAACATTTAAATGTAATGTGTAACTAACACACAGCGCCATCTAGTATAATTTATCTAAAACAAAATGTGAGAGAGCCATGCTTCGGCACGAATGGGCCGGCTCGACCGGAGTGATACCACGGCCTCACAGAAAACCAACGTGAAGCAACGCTTGCGTTGAGTTTCGTCGTGTGAGTGAGGTTACCGGAGGCCCAATTACCCTCCCCTTCCCCAATCTCCCCAATTCCTGAATCCCCAACGATCCTCAAACTCCTAATTCGCCAAAAGGCCGGTAACGCACTTGTAACGCCTCTGGTATTCTAGGTGTCCATGGGCGACGCCGATTGCTTACCATCAGGTGATCCGTCTGCTCGTTTACCGGCTCATGTCATTAAAAACAACCACAACTACAAACGACTATTATGAAGATTGAGCACACATGCAAACTGTCCGCCTTTATAAGTAGAGTTGTCTTCGAACAAATCATCATTCTACTAGCTAGAAGATCAGAGGGCTTTAACTCGTTGAGTACCGGTTTTGTAGACACAATTATAGAACAATAGGTTGCGGTCACCGGTGACCGCTTGGTGTTTGACAGCTTAATTTCATAACTCCTGGTTATCACACATGAATTCAATTCCGATCGATACAAATTGACATTGTAAAATTTCGTAGTCTTGAGTTGCAACACTAGCGCCCATTGCATCCGTATTGCATGGGTATTGAATGAACTAAATGGTATTGAGTTTGGCTTTATACTCCGTACTCTGAATGCTATTGTAACAGCTACGATTGTGGTTGTATAATGTTGACATTTAATAATTATTGAATTGAAATTGCATTGACATTCTGATTGGTTTGAAGAGTAAGCACCCAGCAATCCTACATACAAAGATTTAATTTCCTATGAGAGGAACGTTATGTTAGTTGTTCTGTAATTAGGGGATCCTATATCCAAATACAGCTTTAGATACTGACCATACTCTTTCGTTTAATCTACATTCATCAATATTTCCATGCGTTCTATTGCCTCTGCTGTTACCCTAAATGGAGACAGGCGTGATGATATGTATGTATATAGCTCTACATTCTGTGTTATTACTAAGAATTTAATAATACAAAACACCTTTCATGACATGACTCAAGAATCGAACCTGAAACGATTTACTTAGCTTTCGAACTGCCTAAATAGGCAATCAAAGAGAACGTATAGCATAGTGATAAAATTTTTATAACAAAAACATAACTTGATCAATTAATCAAAAGTTAAGCACAACAAGCTAAGGTATAGAAAAGGATGGGTGACCTGTCTAACGCAGATTCCTGCTGGCAATGAGAAGCGTATGCCACCGTCTGTCCACGGCGACACCTCTCCGTCTCCACCGCACTGACGTATAGTACAAAGTCAGTATCCTCTACTCCTGAGTAATCTACTTCAGGATCTGCCACTGGAAAGAAGAGAAGAATACTATGTTAGTGATAGAAGAATATGTCATTCTAAAATTATTACACTTTATTCTGTCTCGGTATGGTGGGGTACTACAAATTGGAAATCAGGAGTGAAGTGGCATCTGCAACTTATCTTCTGAAGGTTTTAAGAGGTAACATACAAAACTCTGGTATACTTTCAGAGATAGGTATGCCGGACGGCTGCTGGTGGTGCCGCGGGCGCGCACCAACCTGCTGGAGCGCGCGCCGCTCACTCGCGCTTTGCGCACTCTCAACACGGCGGCTGATGTCGTAGACATATTTAACTGTACACTGAGCGAGTTCACAAGGACCACTGACTCTATAGTGTGTAAGGAAATATAGTCTGCAGTTAAAATTTTTATAAGTTTATAGTTAAATATAGTTAATAGTTTAGGAAGCATATTTTAAATTACAATGTCGAATTAGGTTAAGTTATCTGTAATTGCAAAGTAATTGGATTAAATAAATAAATAAATAACAAAAACTCTCCAATGACGTTTTTATTGACCCGGAATTGAATTCGGAACCTCTTGCTTGGCGGTCCTCTCTATCAATAAAGCAGTTCAAGCCGAGTCCCCAAGCGGTCAACGGTGACCGCTGTAATTCCATTATAGACCTTATTCCCGATGATTAGAGACTAATTTTGTATGATTAAATGTTGTGGATTTTTCATAAATGTGGATAGACAAGCTATAGGAAAAGAATAATTATTACGTAAAGATATAAAACGATAGGTATCTGTGTGATAAAAATAATTCTTAATTATAGTGAAAAAGTCATTGCGCAACTCATTACGGGCCTCCGTGTAACCCGAAACTGTTCGGTGATCCCCGTAAAAGACGGCATGAGTAAGACAAACTGCCTCACTGGCCGAGTGATCGCAAGTGCGACTGCCAGGCAAGAGGTTTCGGGTTCGATTCCCGGGTCGGGCAAAGTATTATTGGGTTTTCAAAAATCTCAGTAGTAGCACGAAGTCTGGAAATGTGCCCGGTATATGGCAATAAGTCGCCACTGTAAGCTCATGAGGATAAACTCCTCTGTGGTTCGAAACTAGTAGAGCTTTTCTCAGTATATTCACGTGATCGGTGATAACCATAGTTTTTTCTTCTTCTCCTCTTATAATATCTTCTGATTCACTTCGTTGCGGGAACCAAGACAGTTACTCATGTCCCTGGGACGCGCCGGACTTCAGTGTTCCGGTGTTTTCATGGTTGTATCTACTGTAGATCCTGGCTTACAGGAGTTGCTGCGGTTTTGGGTGGTTGTGGCGGGATTGTCCCATATTCACGTGAGTAACCCGCGATTTTAGTTAATTCAGTCAGATCATATTTCTAGCACTGAATTTGCACTGTACCTTCATTAAACTTAATATTGACAGCCAGTAATCGTATAATCATATCGTATAAATAAAGGATTTGGTATACAAAGATAGTCGAGGCGATAACACAAACTAAATCGCATCGTTGTATTTTGTATCTGTACATCACGCCTTAAATAAGTGGGTGTTACTTTTTAAGGCTGCCTCGTTGGCCGAGTGGTTGCAAGGGCGATTGCCGACAAGAGGTCTCGGGTTCGATTCACGGGTCGGGCAAAGTACTAATGGGTTTTTAAAAAAGTAGGACGGAGTCTGGAATTGTGCCCGGTATATGGTAATAGGCTCACCCCCTATTACATGGGACTTATAACAAAAATAGTGAAAAGTGGGTGTTACATTGTACAGTGTCATTAAGTGCCGTAATGTGCACCTCTGTAGGTAGAGGAATAAAAAACTTGATGTTATGTTTTTATGAGTGAGACAGACAAACATTATTAAATATTATCTCTTTCTCACCTTGTGGTACCTCCGTTCCCTCGTTAATGGAATTCCCATCAATTTCTGTCGGTACCTCTTCTTCTATTCGAACATTTCGAGGCAACGATCTGCAGTTATGTCCTGTACTATTACACACGTAGCAGAGCTGAAAAATATCAAAAAACAATATTTAACACATGAGGGTAAGGCATAAAATAGATTAACAGCAGCTCATGAAAAGATAGTCCAGTCGATTGATGGTAGCGGTGACTGTCCAGGCGACACACGTATTTAGGTATCGTCATGAGTTAATGCTCACATGTAAACAGCAGCTCATGTAAAGAGATTGTCCAGTCAACTGATGGTAGCGGTGACTGTCCAGGCGACACACGTACTTAGGTATCGTCATGAGCTAATGTTCACATGTAAACAGCAGCTCATGTAAAGAGATTGTCCAGTCAATTGATGGTAGCGGTGACTGTCCAGGCGACACACGTATCTAATGATATAAAAATTAACAGACGGACAAATGATGGTAATATTATATCACCTAGACGTTGATCAAACCTGGGAGTAAAAATAAGTATAGAAAATAATAAAAAAGCGAATAAACTCAATGGCCAATAACAAAAGTCGTTTCAATAAGAGCAACGCAACAAAACGATTTTATGTATTTCAATTTAGTACAAAATTTTAAGGCAAAAATGTTGACTCCATGTAAATTTTCTGTTGTTGGTAAGTGATTGTGCAATATTACATAACAGAAAATAACACGAAATACCAAAACGAAGGTCGAAGTACAACAATAACCCTATTATTAATTATTCCCTACTACCCAGTAGGGAATAATTATTGCGGAAAAATATAAAACGACTAGGTACCTGTGTGATAAAATTAAGTCTTAATTATAGTGAAAAAGTCATTGCGCAACTCATTACGGGCCTCCGTGTAACCCGAAACTGTTCGGTGATTCTGGTGATGATAAAAGACGGCATGAGGAAAACAGACTGCCTCGTTGGCCGAGTGATCGCAAGTGCGACTGCCGAGCAAGGGATCAAAGTAGATGTTACAATCTCAGTAGTACCACGGAGTCGAGATTAGGGTAGATACCTAATTTTTATTTTAATGTCCGTCTGGTAGATTATTTTAAAACATTAGACACGTATTTTTTCTTTTCTCACAAAATTAAACACTTTCCACGATATTACATTAATCTGAAATATCGTGTGACGTCACAATACGCTACATTTTGTAGCACTTTGTGACGTAACGACCTCCCACTCCTAAACTTAATTCCATTTTATTCAAATATTGTAACTTTATACGACAAAATAAAAAAATACGTGTCTAATAGTTTTTCATTATCTAACTGATGGACTAATTAGATTTTTAATTTTCATACCCTGGCAACCACCCTATTACCTGTGACGGTCCACTATTGGAATATATGATATTATGATTATATTATTATGGCTTCCTCTATTAAAGATTTTTTATGGCATAAGCCGGTAAACGACCAGACGGATCACCTGATGGTAATAAGGATAAGCAATCGGCGCCGCCCATGGACACCTGAAACACCAACGCGTTACAAGTGCGTCACCGGCCTTTTGGGGATTGGGGATTTGAGGATTGTGGAGGATTCGGGGATTGGGGAGACTGGGGAGTAATTGGGCCTCCAGTAACCTCACTCATACGACGAAACAAATTGCAAGCGTTGGTTCACGTCGGTTTTCTGCTCGGCCGTGGTATCACTCCGGTCGAGCAGACCCATTCGCGCCGAAACATGGCTCTCCCACACTAGAATAAATTACTTGCCAGGCAGATTGATCATTGCAGTTTTATAAGTTCACGTTTATCAGAGAGCGCTGCTACCTGATCTATCAAATGTGTAGTCTCTGAATCAATTGTTACGACACCCGCTGAAGAAAAAGGGCTTTTGATAAATGTACCTTACTTTGCTGTGACCACACAGTATTTTTAAAACGATATCGCACGACAATCAATGTCGAGAGATACCAGAACTTTACAAAAAGTAATAAACAGTTTCTTTTAAAACATCTCATTTGTTCCAGGTGTAAACCTTCTATTACTGACGCACATAGCCCATACATATGTTCTCCTGACTGCAAATATGGAAGACGTAAGAAAACTAGCAAGAAAATTCGTTTCAGAATCTATAGCAAACCAAATAGTAGATTTCATTGCAAAAGCTACTGAAACGATGATGAATAATACATCAGAAGGTCACGAAACCATCAGCTCACTAGCACAAGATAATTCTCACCAAGTTTCGGAAGAAAACAATAAGTATAACGTAGAAAAACATGGTTTAGAAAGCGCAGCACGAGATACTTTAAAGTTTGCAGAAGGAGCAGTAAACAAAGAAAAAGAAAGTTCAAGTTCCGACGAAACAATTCAAGAGAAGGTAACAACGAAAAGAGACAGTAAAATAGTCATGATAAGCAATCCTTATCAAAGCCACAGTAGATACATCTCCAATGACGACAAACAAACTGACAAAGCGACGAACGAAGAAGAAGATAATAATAAGAGCACTGATATACAAAATAATTTAGATGCAACTGAAGGCAAGAAGCCAAAAAGGAAAGCAAAACATGAAAAATACAAGCTATTATCACACTTTACTTCTGTAGAAGACAATGGAGTTGCAGATCATTTCTCAGTCGATAACAGAACAACGCCAGATGACTTTCCTGAGAATGAAACTTTTCAAAAAAGGGCTTTGGAAAATGAGATGATCCTGAGTAAGATTCAAGCTGAAGATTACGATCAATATGATAGTAGAAAAGGTGGTGTGTTAGCGAACAGTGGACCTATGTCTTTGCTTATGCCGCAAAGGAGATTGGGTCATGAAAATTGGTGGGACAAAGAGTTACCGAAACCAGATACACCACAAGTACCGGAAGGATAGCAAATGAAATTTCGTTTTTAATAAATTATTGTGTTTTTTATGAGTTCTTTCAATATAAATGAGTTTTGATTTAGAACTCATGGCTCATCCTGGGTCATTTTTGTTTGTGTGAACATTTCTGGGATGTACAATATTTAAAAGTCAAAAGTCAAAATAATTTATTTAAACTGTCAAACACCAAGCGGACACCGGTGACCGCAACCTATTGTTCTATAATTGTGTCTACAAAACCGGTACTCGACGAGTTAAATTAGACCAGAAGGCACTTTTGAACGTCAACAAAAAAAATTAAAAGTGAAGCTATTTGCTTATTCCAAGGTTCCTGTGGAGAAGAACGAGCAAGAAACTCCATAAGTTACTCTTTTTCAATCAGGTTCACAATACAATTCTCTAGTTACATAGTTGTGTTGTTTGGATTTTGCGAGAACAATGTAACACTAAAATACAGTCAAAGAGTCCGAAAGAAAATAAACTTAAAGGACGGTAAAAAAATACAGTCTGGACCAGTCCTAGTTGACGGCGCCCGTTCTCAAACATGACACGTACACCAGCACCGCCCAACTCAACCATATTGTAGGGAATCGAGCGATCCACTGCACGTGCCACCGCCAATGAGACCTTAGAGTGAGCATGACAACTCCAAGCTGACACAAACGTATTCTACAAGTCTAATTTAATATTTAGTTAATTACAGGGTTCTCACATTTACTATATAAATGAGCAACATGAGGGAATCGAGCGAATACAATTTTATTATTATCCATACTTAGTTAGGCTATGTACTGAGTATTAATAGTATCATCAACTCTTGTGTCAGAAATACTGACAGTCTTTTACATGGCCCGACTGCCATCTATGGTGACTGATGACGATAATGCAAAAAACGAAAAAACGTTCAGCCCCTATTTTTTCTGCCAGTGTCATATTTATACATCGGACTTATGGATTTGAATCTTTGCATATGCATGCATTTGGTATATTTTAAATAGAATCCGCGGGGTCCACTTGTAACTTCTTGGTATAATTGTAAATGGTTTTTTATTGTGCTTATCTTCTATATATATAAAATTCAAAGGTGATTGACTGACTGACTGATTGACTGACTGACATAGTGATCTATCAACGCACAGCCCAAACCGCTGGACAGATTGGGCTAAAATTTGGCATACAGATAGATGTTATGACGTAGGCATTCGCTAAGAAAGGATTTTGATAATTTCCACCCCCAAGGGGGTAAAAAAGGGGATGAAAGTTTGTATGAGACTTTGTCAGTTTTAAACCGATCGGGTTGTAATTTGGCATGCAGATAGATGTTATGACGTAAGCATCCGATGTGAAAGGATTTTGATAATTTCCACCCCCAATGGGGGTAAAATAGGGGATGAAAGTTTGTATGAGACTTTGTCAGTTTTAAACCGATCGGGTTGTAATTTGGCATGCAGATAGATGTTATGACGTAAGCATCCGCTATGAAAGGATTTTGATAATTTCCACCCCCAAGTGGGTAAAATAGGGGATGAAAGTTTATATGAGCCTTTGTCAGTTTTAAACCGATCGGGTTGTAATTTGGCATGCAGATAGATGTTACGACGTAGGCGTCCGCTATGAAAGGATTTTGATAATTTCCACCCCCAAGTGGGTAAAATAGGGGATGAAAGTTTATATGAGCCTTTGTCAGTTTTAAACCGATCGGGTTGTAATTTGGCATGCAGATAGATGTTACGACGTAGGCGTCCGCTGTGAAAGGATTTTGATAATTTCCACCCCCAAGTGGGTAAAATAGGGGATGAAAGTTTATATGAGCCTTTGTCAGTTTTAAACCGATCAGGTTGAAATTTGGCATGCAGATAGATGTTATGACGTAAGCATCCGCTTTGAAAGGATTTTGATAATTTCCACCAAGGGGGTAAAATAGGGGATGAACGTTTGTGTGAGGCTTTGTCAGTTTTACACCGATCGGGTTGAAATTCGGCGTGCAGATGGATATTATGACGTAAACGTCCCTTTAGAAAGGTTTTTGAACATTCTCACCCCAAAGTATGATACTTTGCCAGTTTTAAATTGATCGGGCTGAGACTTTGCATGCATAAAGTTACTATGACATAGGTATCTCTTTAGAAAGGATTTTGATAAATTCCACCCCTAAGGGGATAAAATAGGGAATGAGAGTTTGTATAAATCTTCTTAGCCGTTGAATTTAGAATCATTGAATCTTTTTGAATTACATTCGGTAAAACGATGATTTGGGACCTGGGTAACGTATGATAGTTTTTTCACAGATGTCTCACGAGAACGGGAACTATGCGTCAATGCCCCAGGACTCTCTAACTCTTAACCACTGAACTTATTCTAGAGAGATTCGGTACAACAATAGTCGATAGAATAGTTTTTATTACTCAAACCTTACGTGATCGGGCACTGTACTGGTAAGATCCCTGCGGGATTATTTATTTATTGAAACTACGATAAATCATTTCAAAATAGGTAAATCTTACTTGGGCACTGAATTGATTCTGGTTAATTCTGTCAGAAGTCATTAATCTACGCGGACGAAGTCGCGGGCAACAGCTATCTACACATATAATAAATCGTAGAAAAGTCAAAACTGTACATTGAATATTTTTTAAAAGAATATTTGAAGCGTGATCTCTAATCGATACCGAAGCCAATAATGTGGTTTTTAGAATTTTTGTCTGTTTGTCTGTATGTATGGCCGTGATGATCTCAAAAAGTACTGCACTACTATTTCAAATTTTGCATGAATATTACTAACAAGTCTGGTAAACATATAGGCTACATATTATCACGCTATCATCTACGGGACTGAATCAATTCTGACGACATCCATTACCGTAGAATATCCCTTGATAAAAACTAATTCAAAAGCCTAAATTCTGCCAGAAGTCATTATTCTACGCGGACGAAGTCGCGGGCAACAGCTAGTGTTAATATACATATCTCGCCGTTTTTCGCATATTTTGGCATTTATTGGCATTTATTAAGCGTCTCTGGTTTTTGAAAGGTAGCGATTTCATATTCCCTATTGTTCCTAAGCAATAAGCTAAGTACCTGATTCGGGAAGCACCTGACTGTCTTCAAGATCCGAGCGAATAGGTTGCTAATAGCCAGAAGTGTTCCATTGTAGGCCGCATCATCACTTACCACCACACAAGACAATAGACAAATGCCGCTCCAATTAGAAAATTAAAAGTAAATGGGTTTGCCATAAAAATTAAAGTAGGTACTTCTGCAACGCGCATTGGGCAAGTGTGGTTCATCTCACACAGAGAACGAATGTATTAATGCACATAAAGCTCTTTGATCAGCAGTGACCACTTATAGGCTGTTGATGTCGCGGAGAACCTAACGGGTAACCGGGGCTCCGGCTTGACGTGCAGGACAAGGAACGGGGTGGTTTTTAGTCAGTAAGAGTCAGACACTCCCTCCCGCCTCACCCAGGCGGGAGCAGTAATTCGATGATTTCCCCCTATAAAAAAAATAGGCTGATGACTACAAGGTACTTACGTTTAAATGTTCCTCCGGTACCTTCACCTCACCGCACATAGTTTCAGCATTGCACTGGTCTATGCAGTGTGTCCTACCATCACGGACGAACACCTGACGCGTTGGACATTTTCTGAAACAAACGAGAACTGATAAATAAACAAAATCATTTGCAACATCTAAGAATACGGTAGTTGACAGGTAGTCAAATTCAATACTTTTATTGAAATGTCAAAAACGATACTTTTCTATGATTTTTGTATTGGACCGCAACTTATGACGTCACCATATTTCTGCGTCAAACAGCATACTTGTTTCCTTAAAATTAGCGAGAAAAAATCCAAAAGTAGGTAAATTGTCAAATCAATGGATGAGAGTATGATTATTTCTTAATTATTTATTGCATTGAAAAGTTGAAATTTTTTTTTAAACTTAGGGAACTAGCCAATTTTCGTCTTTGGAGGCCGCTGTTCATGCATGAGGGCGCATTTTTCCGAGTTATAGGTACTTTATAAGATCATATAGACACCACTGACAAATGATGAAACCTGGGCTTATAATTTCTAAATATTGGTCTAAAATCCCCAACCCGCATTGAACACGCGTGGTGATTAACTCGTTGTGTACCGTCATTATAGACACAATTAAAGAACAATAGGTTGCGGTCACCGGTGTCCTTGCGGTGTTTTATAGTTTAATGCTCAAACCTCCGTGCGAGAAGAGGCCTTTGGTCAGCAGTGGCGACTTATAGGCCATGATGATGATGATGAGGAATAATGGCTAATGATAATGGAATAATAAGACATAATTTAAGAAAAATCAGCCTGCCTTTCTGTCTTCCACTGGACATAGACCCAACAGCACACCATTGAGCTCAATCTGAGGGCTTAGTACGAGTTTTCTTTCCGTTCACAATAATCGTAGCGAGACTACGTTCGGCGGTGATGGTTGTTGCATTGAAGCCTACTCATCAGACCGCAGAACGCGGGCTCGATTTGATTACTTTAATCGAGAAACAAACTCGTTCTGCGCTTTTTAGGTCATACCAGAATATAACGTTGAATTTTTAACAGCTACTGTGTCAAAATGTCTTTAATTTCTTTTGTACAGATTTCGCAGATTATTTTTTATTGTTGTCAGGCAGAGCCGTATCCTACGGCAAACTAAGTTAGGTCTAGGGCGCCAGGTTGCAGAGGAGCGCCGCGACACCCGCATGTTCATCTGCCCAGAAAGTGCAACAGCGAAATGCGCCACAAAAAAATTAGGGTCGCTTATTAGTGCTTGCCTTTTTTGAGGTGGGAAAATTATTCAATGACTTCTCCCACCTTATACACGGGTTGGTTCTGATCAGGTGGCGAGCTACCCCTGCTTACTACCCGCAAACCCGCACTTACAGTAGCCAGAGTATGTCGCGCGATATCCGACGCCCAGAGTGTCTCCCGCCACGGCTGGGGCGTGAGACATGAGCTAGGTAACATGACTGCTTCGCAGAGGAAAGACACGGCATCCCAGTCCCCCTCGCTTCGTATGATGGTTTGAACCAGAGCACTGTGCCCTGCGCACACCGGCACCGTATGCTCCACCGTATCTTGCCTAGGACGCTCTCTAGATGTAATCGGCCTATATGGTCAGGTAAAAGTTCTTATAAAAGAAAATATGGGAACTGATACCCGTGCAACACAGGGACTAACCACAATCTTAATAAAGAAATTCAGTACGAGTACGAAAGACCTAATTAATGTAAAAATTATCAGTCAGCAAAACATTGAATTCATGTCCAGATAGATAACACACACAATCAATTGTATATCACTCAAAATTTTTGATAATAATAGTTATAAAATTGTCAGGTCATGATGCGTTTTTGTTTTTTGGTGTATTTACCAAGACTGTGGTCAGATGAACTTTGCATTGCCTTAAATTCGATGAATGACCGTCGACGTAAACAAAAGGTATGAAGTTACCTTACCAAATGTGGGACAACCATGCTTCAGCACGAATGAGCTGGCTCGACCGGAGCGATATTGGTATCGCTAGCCTTGGGGCTGAGCAGAAAACCGACGAGAATCAACACTTGCGTGTGAGTGAGGTTACCGGGGGCCCAATTACACCCTCCCCTCTTCCCCTATCGCCCGAATCATTGAATGCCCAACAATCCTCCGTTTTCTAACCTCCAAAAGGTCGGCAACGCATTTATAAAGCCTCTGGTGTTTCGGATGTCCATGGGCGATGCCGATTGCTTACCATCAGGTGATCCGTCTGCTCGTCTACCAGCTCAACCTAAAAAAAAACAAACGCCCTCTTCGACATAAGGTTTGCTAAAACCTCCATGTTTGCAGGCGGATTGTACAACGTTCAGGTTTATCAGAGCGCGCTGCTGTCCAGTCTCTGTCAAATGTATAGTCAGCTAAGACAGCGGGAAGAATAGGGGCAGTGACAAAAGTCTACAGGAAGTCTAGATTACAGTTATATTCCTAGGTAAATCGAATATTACACAGCGCGGATAAGCACTGAATATTTTGAATAAAGATAAAGCAACCGATTAGATTACCTATCAACCAGATACATAGCGTACGTCACAGATACAATTTTTGTACTATTATTATGCTTTTTCTAGATTTCCAATGCGTCTACTTCCGAAAAAAAAAAAATCATAATTTAAGTGTGGGACAGCCATGCTTCGGTATGATACCACGGCCTTCGGTAGGTTCCACCGGAGTGATACCACGGCCTCACAGGAAACCGACGTGAAACAATATTTGCGTTTTTCACTGTTTGAGGCCTAATCATCTTCTCCCAGCTGCAATTCCCAAATCCTTAACCCACATGGCTGGCAAACCACGGGCGGCGCTGATTGCTTACCATCAGGTGATCTGTCAGCTCGGTTACTGGCCTTATTCCACAAAAAAAGAGTTTGTATGGCGCAGTGGCTGATTTCATCTATCTATCTACTGGTAATCGATAAATTGTTCAGCGTCTGGGTGTCTTGTGTATGTGAACTTGTATGTTTGTAAATGCACACACGATACACACAGGAGAAAATCCTAGTTTGTGGTCAGGTTTTATATAAAAAGGTTTGCTTATTATATATTAAGAGCAAGCGCTATATTCCTCGAATTGGTTATCGAATTATGAAAGTGTAACATTACTTTTAGAGTATATTGACGTATAACGGATATTTGGACTTTGTGCAGTCCAACGCAATTATAATAAGGCTGATTATAGATCCACGCTGACCGTCAACGCTTATAGTTGAGGACGTAGTTTGACAGACAACGATCAAACCGTAGCTTTGTCCGTCAGCGCTGACCGACGCATTCTTTATTCTAAAACGTTTTATAGTTCATACGTTCGACTGTCAGCGCTGACAATAGCGTGCGGTCAGTGCGACCCTTAATAAACCGGCCAAACACTTTATATACGTCTTGGAATTTGCAGCCCCTTACTCGACAACCGCGCTTGTCCTATTAATTGAGGGGGGAAATCTTCGAGTGACTTCGTAGCGCCCAAGTAGGAGTAGGAAAAGGATGGTGTTTAGTCAGTTAGAGTCTGACACTCCTTCTCGTCTCACCCGGGCGGGGGAAGACAATCGATGATATCTCTCTTAACTCGTCGAGTGCCGTCATTATAGACACAATTATAGAACAATAGGTTGCGGTCACCGGTGACCGCTTGGTGTTTGACAGTTTAAAAGAAAACATTTACTATATGCCCTTCACGTCCATTCTCCCAACCCTTTCGGGGATAAAAAAAAACCTAGAGAGTAAAGAGACTAAAATTGTACAAATGTATTGCGTCATATGTTTAGACACTTGTCAAAGTCAAAGTCAAAATCTGATGGCACTTTTGACCGTCAACAACAAAAATTTAGAAGTGAAGCTATTTGCTCATTCCAAGGTGTAGATTCCTGTGGAGAAGAACGGGCAAGAAACTCCATAGGTTACTCTTTTTCAATCAGGTTTACAATACAATTCTCTAGTTACATAGGACATTACTGGACAGCCTTTTCTAATATGATGTTTAATTCATGCGACATTGTTCACGTTTTCCCTCGCACTTTATAAGACAAAAACAAAAGAATAATAATTGACTAAAGGTACAAACAAAATGTATAGAAATACAGATATTACGTAGAACAATACTTAACATTATTTGCGAAGTAAAACCGTATATTATTTATCTTATCTTTGGTATAGATAACCATTCATTTGTATCTCAGACTCAACGCAAAATGGCTGCACGAAGACAAAAACGTACGTTTACATAAAAAATATAGTTTATAGAAGTGACAAAACTAGTTTGTAACATCAGAAAAGTGTTTTAAAGTGAACTTTAGTTAATAAACAAGACACTCGTGCCTAAATAGTTGAGTTCAAACAGTGATTTTGTGCGCAAAACACAAATAAACGTAAGTATTTCTCGCTATTTACGTCGATTCACGTCAATATTGCAAATTGTCATCTGTCAAATTGATTACTTATAACAGGTTTACGCAAAGTTGTGTAAGTCGATTTTTACGAATTATACACACATTTACATACTAGCGTTACGTTCTGGTTTTGCTCGAGTACTATTTCCTTAAATCTCCCGGCGAATTTATCAATTCTGTTAGTTTTACATTGCATTGCCGCGGATATAACGAAAAAGGAAATTATTTAATTCGGAGAGAGAAAGATATTATCCAGTCAACTAATGGTAGCGTTGACCGTCCAGGCGACACACGTACTTAGGTATCGTCATGAGCTAATGTTCACATGTAAACAGCGGCTCATGTAAAGAGATTGTTCAGTCAACTGATGGTAGCGGTGACTGTCCAGGCTACACACGTACTTAGGTATCGTCATGAGCTAATGTTCACATGTAAACAGCAGCTCATGTAAAGAGATTGTCCAGTCAACTGATGGTAGCGGTGACTGTCCAGGCGACACACGTACTTAGGTATCGTCATGAGCTAATGTTCACATGTAAACAGCAGCTCATGTAAAGAGATTGTCCAGTCAACTGATGGTATCGGTGACTGTCCAGGCGACACACGTACTTAGGTATCGTCATGAGCTAATGTTCACATGTAAACAGCAGCTCATGTAAAGAGATTGTCCAGTCAACTGATGGTAGCGGTGACTGTCCAGGCGACACACGTACTTAGGTATCGTCATGAGCTAATGTTCACATGTAAACAGCAGCTCATGTAAAGAGATTGTCCAGTCAACTGATGGTAGCGGTGACTGTCCAGGCGACACACGTACTTAGGTATCGTCATGAGCTAATGTTCACATGTAAACAGCAGCTCATGTAAAGAGACTGTTCAGTCAACTGATGGTAGCGGTGACTGTCCAGGCGACACACGTACTTAGGTATCGTCATGAGCTAATGTTCACATGTAAACAGCAGCTCATGTAAAGAGATTGTCCAGTCAACTGATGGTAGCGGTGACTGTCCAGGCGACACACGTACTTAGGTATCGTCATGAGCTAATGTTCACATGTAAACAGCAGCTCATGTAAAGAGATTGTCCAGTCAACTGATGGTAGCGGTGACTGTCCAGGCGACACACGTACTTAGGTATCGTCATGAGCTAATGTTCACATGTAAACAGCAGCTCATGTAAAGAGATTGTCCAGTCAACTGATGGTATCGGTGACTGTCCAGGCGACACACGTACTTAGGTATCGTCATGAGCTAATGTTCACATGTAAACAGCAGCTCATGTAAAGAGATTGTCCAGTCAACTGATGGTAGCGGTGACTGTCCAGGCGACACACGTACTTAGGTATCGTCATGAGCTAATGTTCACATGTAAACAGCAGCTCATGTAAAGAGA